AATTCCCATAAAGTTAAGGGTGGCCATGTTATGACCCTTCATCTTGCAAAGCAACTTAGGGAGAAAGGGCTTGATGCAATACCTGGCTGGCAACTATGCAGAAATTGTTTCCAGAAGGCCACAGATGAGGAACAAAGTGTTAAGACTGTAGAGGCAGATGATGACTTAGATATCACAGACATTGAACAAGATATAGCAAGAGATGTAATGAATACCAGTTTTGACAGACTAGCAGTTTCTCCTATAAAAACACAGTGTCCCAAAGCAACGAAAAATCAGTGAAGCAAGGAGAAATATAGATAGAGCATGCACATCAATCGAGGAGAGGGTAGCAGCTGGTATTGATGTTGATAGTACTGAAGTAAAAAGGAAAGACCCACAAACAACAATTCCGCCCATCGATACAAGCAAAAGCTACAAATTTAGATACATTAACTTATCTAATGAAGGAAAAGCTTAAAACGTCCGATTATAAAACAAAGATCCAAGTGTTGACACTTACACCTGAGTCATGGTCTCGTAAACAAGCAGCTGAGATTTTTGATGTACCTGAGTATAGCATTCGTGTTGCAAGGAAATTGAAGGAAGAAAATGGAATTCTATCAATTCCTAATCCAAGACACTACAAAACCCTTCCTGAAGATATTAAGACACTGGTTGTTAATTTTTTGAGGATGATGAGTTCTCAAGACTAATGCCAGGCAAAAAGGACTATGTTAGCATTGCAAAGAATATACATAAACAGCCAAGATTGCTTCTTTGCAACCTAAAGGAGTTGTACAGTGCCTTTAAAAGAAAGACATCCAGATGCCAAAGTTGGATTTTCCAAATTTTGTAGCCTAAGACATAAATGGTGTGTCTCTGTTGGTTCCAGTGGGACTCACTCTGTTTGTGTGTGCACCAGCCATCAGAATGCACAACTGCTAGTGCATACAGCTAATGTTGGCAAAGACTACTGCAACTTAATGTCAATGGTTGTATGTGATTTAAACAACAAGATGTGTATGATTCATCGCTGTGAGAATTGTCCAGGAGATGAAGTTCTAAGAGAATTCTTGGATGAGAAATTTGCAGACTGTGAAGAGGAAGAGATTTCGTTCCAGCAATGGCAAGGGACTGACAGAGCCATCCTCTACACCCAAACAACATCCACTCAAGAATTTATTGAGCTTATTGTTAATGCTATCAGCAATTTAACTGTGCATTCTTATATTGCTAAATGTCAAGCCCGGTACCTGAAGGATCGAAAAGACAATTTATCCGGAACCGTGTGCATTGTCTTGTTGGACTTCGCTAAAAATTATCAGTTCATGGTGCAAGATGAAATTCAAGGTTTTCATTGGAAGAACATTGGTCGTACCCTTCACCCAGTCACCCTGTACCACATGAAGGATGGCGAACAACAGTGTGAATCGGTATGTGTGATATCTGATGACACTCCCTTTGTTTATCAAGCAATGGTTGTGCTGGACAGTACAAAAACTTCAAGAACATCCTAAATCTTTGCCACCATTTCGTTGATTTTGGAATAACTGCAAAGTGGTCTTTCTTTGCAACCAGTCATGGAAAATCCCCCTGTGGTGGTATTGGAGATACGGTGAAAAGACTACAATCATAGACAAAACTCATGCGGACAACTTGGTCTAAATTGAGTTTGTCACCTTAGCTGCGAGGTATTTTTTATTAGAAGATGTAAATAACTCTTAACCCCCGTTCCCCCCGCACAATGTTGTTTACTTTATTATGTATGTATCACAGAAGACATTCCCATCTCATCAACATTGTTCTAGGGGTGGGGGGATGAGTATTTGCAATTATATTCAGACATTTAAATTTAAGACGCCTTTTCCATGTGCTTGTCCGAGCGGTTTTGTCTAGGATTGTCTGAAAATAATGTATTTTACCAATTCACAATTTTGCACTATAAAATGACAATAAACGTTTTCAATTGGTGTTATAAAACTTACAAATGCTGCATAATTATCTTGTAACGGATATGACGTTTTTCAAAGCATTCATAATTACCGAAAATAAATGTTATAAATCAATTTTGACATGTCTCATGGAGGAAACGTCAACACAACGAGTAGGTGAAAGTAATTTTGATCATAGTGGGACGGTAGAGAATGATATTGGTGAACCTATTGTTGGAAAGAACAGCCTTAGCACCTCAGCTACGAGAAGTGTTTATTTAATAACTTATAGCCAGGCAGAGTTGCAGAAATTTACATGTTGAGCGGACTTCGCCAGAGCAGTTGTGGAAAGCTTTATTCAAGGAAACTGCAATGTGAGCCATTGGTGTTGCAGTTTAGAGGAGCACACCTCAGGGGGTAAACATTATCACATGTCCTTGAAGCTTAACAAAGTGCAGCGTTGGTTAGCATCTAAGAGATTTCTCGCACAAACCTACGGTATTTCAGTTCATTATTCCAACGTCCATCACAACTACTTTAGCGCTTGGCAATATGTAACGAAAAGTGACACACAATATGAAGAAAGCATTGGTCATCCTGATTTACGGAATGCGAAGAGTCCAAGAATGAGCGAAGCGAACACAAAGAAGAGCAATGATGCCACAAAGAGAAAACGTAAAAACTATACCAAGACGAAGGGTGGTCCAGAGAAAGTTACAAAGCGGTCAAAGTCTGGGAAAAAAAGCGTCTCACACCTTTACTTGTGTCAGAACTTATTCTGGACAAAAATATAATGAGCGTCACTAGGGTTGGGCGATATTTCGATATTTTGATTTATCGCGATATTTTCAATCGCGATTATCGTATCGAAGGTAGAAACTTGAGCGACGATATATCGAAATTATCGTCATGCTCGTTGACTATCGTGATATTGCTTCTATGTAGTATATAGCTTTTATAAAAATCCTAAAAAATTCCTTCAATTTCTAGAAAACATATTTTTTAAAAGAATTAAAACTATTTCCTGAATTAAATACGAATTTAATACGGCCATTCGGCCTTGGAAATTAGTAAGCCGCTGAACAATGAAATTGCAGGCTTTGCTTGCGCTGTGTGCCCACGGCATTTGCGCCTGCGGAGACACAGTAGACACTACATAGACAGTTCGGTTTATGGACAGTAAATATTAGACTAGAAAAAGCGTTCATATTAAATTATTTTAATTTGTTGTTTTACTTAGCTTGATTTTAATAAGATTATTTTTAAGCTTATTGGTCATTGTTTTTATCGCGATATTATCGAATATCGTGATAATTTCCTCGACAATAATCGTGAGATGATTTTTTTAATATCGCCCAACCCTAAGCGTCACCGAGCTTCACGCCTTAGCACAAGACTAAAGGGACCAAGGAAAAATTGATCTTGTTGAATTTATTTTAAACAGTCCCCCAAAAAACTTTCCGAATTGATTCAAACAACTTGGGAGATGAAAGGAGCAAAGGAAAAGATTACTCATTCCAGAAAAACTCGAATGCAAATACTGAATGAAGCAGTCGAATCTGACTGTACAACAGCGTGTAACGGGGCATGGCTACAGTGTGCTACTGAGTTATTAAATAAAAACGGCGTGGATATTGAAATGTTTGCGCAATTGGTAAAGGAATGCCTAACCAAAGGCAGCGGAAAACACCGCAACGTCATGATTGTGGGTCCAGCCAACTGTGGCAAGACGTTTATACTCAAAAGCCTGACCCAACTATACGCAACGTTCAGTAACCCTGCCTCTGGAAGCTTTGCTTGGATTGGAATTCAAGATGTGGAATGTATATTTCTAAACGATTTCAGATGGAACCCTCAGCTAATACCTTGGCATGACCTGCTTCTTATGTTGGAAGGAGAAGTTGTCCATCTCCATGCACCGAAAACACATTTTACAGAAGATATTGAGTTTGTCAAAGACACACCTATCTTTTGCACAAGCAAGCGGCCATTAATTTATATTAAGAACGGTGTAGTCGACGATCGTGAAACGGAGATGATGGCTGTTAGATGGAGAGTTTTATATTTCAACTACCAGATTCCCCAAGAAAAGCAGTTAAACATACCACCTTGCAAAAAAGGCTTTGCGCAGTTACTATTGATTTAATTCAATCATGACTATAGAACTGGCGTCAACAAACACAGAGCAACACATGGTGATAAATTATAAGGAACTTTAAAATTCATATTGTAAACTATAACGGTAAACATACGAAATATCCGGAGCATGAATATTAATGAGTTATTGTCTCATTTTACTTATATTATGGGTTTTTCTCATGTTTACCGTTGTATTTAATTAATTTACGTAATCCTCCGCAAAGCTGCTGACATGAACACCTGATTTAGGGGCAAATATAACAGGTGAAATAGGCCAAGGTTTCCATCGCTGAAGTGAGCAAGCTTGCAAGACATCATACATTGAGTACATTGTCTTATGGAAAATAACAAAAGTAAGTGAGGTTAGAGGTGAGATTGCAGGTACATATGGCAAGACAAAGCATTGAAGAAGAGCAAATTGAAGTGTTCCATTTAAAGTTCTTGGAACATGTCATTCAGGTGAAAGACAGAAAATATTAGAGGAAGTGTTCGAGTACCTAAATTAGTATAATAGCCCAGTCTATAATAATAGTTTTGTTTGTGGAAAACACCACGTAAATTTATTACTGCAAAGCTTTCGATCCGTAAGCCCGGATCTTCATCAGTGCTAATAATATGTGACTTGTTTAATTCACATGCTCTTTTTATATACAAAAGTGTCGTGATCTGTTGGCTTGCGTCATTTGAAATTTAATTAAATGGCACATCAACCACGTCATTTCAAACGTAGTGAAGTGATTCCAATACACACGCGTCCATCCAAGACAAGAGAAATTAATTTTGCACATTAAAGAGAGCACGCCACATACTATCTAGCGACTTTCCCTCCTGATCTATAGTATTGTGCTTCTTGATTTCAATCGACTCTCTCATTTTGCGAGAGAACTTACGACTATCAATCGCCAAAATGGTTGCTTTGTCCCATTTTATACGATGGTCGTAAGTCCAAGTATGTTTAGCCACAGCAGATTTATCTTGCTTGGCTTTCTCGCAATTCGTCTTGTGTTCCTTAAGATGTACTGAGAGATTTCGACCAGTTTAACCAATGTAAACCAGACCACACGAACGCAGTACACACCAGGTTTCTGATATTCATACCCAGCACCAGAAAACTATCGTAATTTCATCTAAACTAACTTAGGTTTTCAATTACAGAGCATTTGTGACAATATTTAGCGACAAAGAACGCAATGTCAAAATATGGCTTTCAAAATCCTACTATTTTCTATGTTGAATTTCTTAAAAGTGGACCTAATTACATACAGTTACTAGTATAGTTGGAAAAAGGACACTTTGAAGTACTAAAAACCGTAATAAAACACGTCTGCAAACGCGGTTTGAACAATTGAGAGCGTTTGAAATTTGATCTTTGAATTATATTGCTGCAAAATTTGAGAGTAATTAATGCTATCGGTTCAACTCTATGCGGAGGGTGTCGGAACTAATCTGATCTTGTCCGACTACTATCAACTAAGAAAAATCGCTTAAAAAGGACAGGAAAACGTCAGATATTTGTTAAATAATAATGTCATTGTGTGCGTCCGACTTAACATGCACCTACTCTAAAAATGCATTGCAGAAAATTGTCTCATTTAACCTTGCCTTTACTCAGTGCTACGTTTTTTTTAAAAAAAAACACCTAAATTAAAATGCGCTAAGTGCCAATTTCAGTGTATGATAGGATGCTAATAGTATACTTGTGTTTCAATGTTTGCATGACATTGACTGGTTGTACAATACATAATAATCGAAATAGACCTTTCCGGTAATTACATTACAACTGCATGGAAGGGGCCAAAGCAAACACGTAATGGCATACGCTTTGGCCCCTCAGCCTCACTTCCATGCAGTTGCGACGTTTATTACCAGAAAGGTAATAGTTTAATACAAAACAAAAGCTTTTGTTGGGTTTTCCCCGGGCGACATTTTTTGCAAGTGTTTACTGTGATTCAATTTTACTTCTTCGCATTAGTACTTCAAAGTGTCCTTTTTCCAACTATACTAGTCACTGTATGTAATTAGGTCCCATTTTTAAGAAATTCAACATAGAAAATAGAAGGATTTGAAAAGCCTTATTTTGACATGGCGTTCTTTGTCGCTAAATATTGTCACAAATGCTCTGTAATTGAAAACCTAAGTTAGTTTACATGAAATTACGATAGTTTTCCGGTGCTGGGTGTGAATATCAGAAATTTTGAACAAAAACGTTTGAAATTATGTTTATTTAAATTCAGCCCATTTTTTCGTAGAGTATAATAAATGATCAAGAAACAACAATCAGGCTTTGCAAGAACCCAAAACATAGTTAAACTGTTTGTATCATAAAAAGTGGGCTCCTTTGTGCACATGCGCAGATCGGACTGTAGATCACCTTTAACAATTTATTTGACAGCTTATCTCATTCCGGAGCATTTTGTATTTTGTGTTATGACTTCACTTTGTTCTTTTTTGCTGCCATCTTAAGCATAACCACAAAGTCTACGTCATCTCAGAAGTGATTGAAGAAAATTAAGAAATTTGATACAGTTAGTAAGTGCGCCTAAGTTCCAAAACTTTTGCTTAATTAGATGCACTGACTCTTTCCAACGAAATTTTATTTAATTTCGTTAAATCACTTCTGACATGTTAGACTTTCCTCTTTTTGCAGGCATTTTAAGCACTGAGTGAACCAGTGACGTTATAACAGAGAAATACAAAATGCCCGTTAATCTGCGAACAAAATGAGCTGTGAACCCTTGTTCAAAGGCCGTTCTTCATAATTTTCAAGATACTCTCAAGTGATAAAAATAACCCAAACAATAACAAACACTTTAACACAAGCTAATTGTTATAAGCTCATTTTTCGATAATAAAAAACGGTTTTCTTTTCATTTTCTAATTTAATTAACAGATTGTGATCTATGTGAGAAACGTATACATGGTCCCCAATGTGACAGACATGCCTTGAAAACTGTTACCAACACTGTGCCGAAGACAAGGTGTGGCTCCAAATACGCCGAAATGACACTCCCCGCCAACTTGTCAGTGAAACGATCTTCAATTCCTCGTGCAGGGAAAAGAGTCTTCACCAAAAAAAAAGTACAAATAAACACACGTTTTGGGCTGTACACTGGAAAACAAATTGATTTTCACTTCTTACATGTGGGAGGTATGTTTCTGTTCTTTGGTTGTATAGGAATTGTCATTGTAGCATAGAGTGTCATTGGCAAGGTAACCCTACTCATTTTAAATAGTGAAAAATTTTCTGAATTGAATATGAATTTCTAGACAGTTGTTATTTTTAGTGAATGACCGATTGTACCACAATCGGAAATTACCAATTATTCATGCAACAACCCACCCGATACCAATTTTATAATGGTGTATATATATATTATATATATTTTATAGTGATTTCAAGCTTAACTAGTTGTTGAATATTGCAGTTGTTTGTGAGTGAAATGTTTTCGCAGGCACATATTGACCATGTTTAAATAGTGCTCCCATTATGCATTGCACACCGGGCTAGGAAAGCTGCTGTTCTGGCCAATTATTCCGTCGAGGAAAAATTTTCAAAATGGCGAAATTATGTCTTCAAAATGGCGTCCAAGATGATATTGGATATTGCATTATTTATTTTAATTTTGTGAAGGGCTAGGTAGGATAACGAGGATGCTGAAGGACAAACAAGAACCATGACACACTAAATGACCCTCCGACACCCTCAGAAGAGAGGAAGAACACGGAAGAGGTTATTTCGCTGGCCTCAGAGTGACAAAATGTAACAAAGCAACGGTTTTACTAACACTAACCCTATTCCAAACACCAACTGTAACCCCTAACCCTAATCCTTACCCTAACCCTAAGCTAACCCTACTTCAAGTTTGTTTCTAAACCAATCTTGAAGAAAATTATTTTGACGAAATGTCATTTTGAGGTCAGCGAAATAACTTTTTCCGAAGAACACATGCGATATTCAATATTTCAAATTTTTTTACAGTTGTCAAAGTTACTGCCGACATGAATGACAAAGATATTTTGTGCAATATGTAAGATATTTTCTACATAGTCGAAATTTCAAAACCATAGAAATCTTCAACATGGTCTAACGTTTGATATCAATTATATTTTGGGTTTTAGGCTTGCTTGTGAGATCCACATTTCTGCATGAAACTTGTGGCTTCATATGGCCGATGGGGAACAAGAGAAATGGCCGTGCGTCTAGTAACAAAGCAGTTTCACACATTCGTTTTCCTCTTGGCGAACTTGCGAGTAGAAGAAAAGAATTAAAGGAGAAATATTTGGCACAAAATTCTAAGCTAAAGGATCTGCAAAAAGATGTACAGAAAAGATCAAAAAAGGTATGCAAGTTTAATATTTCTGGATCCAACAACCTGATGGCTGATGGATTTACAGGGTTGGCAAATCTTCTTATATTAATATAAGAAGACTTATTTTTCGGGGGAAAATCTTCTTATATCTTCTTATATTATTTTCGACAATTTTGTGATTTGAAGATGTGAATTTGAAGCTAAAAACTGGTTACAAGTTATTTGATAACATATACAAGTAAAATATGTTTGTGTGATGTTACTCTGAGTGTATATCCACACCGGGCAGGCTTGAAAAATATGCCTGGCCACGGCGGGATTCGAACCTACGACCTTTGGAATACTAGCCCAATGCTCTTCCAACTGAGCTACGCGGTCAGGACGGTTAGAGTATGCGATATTTCGGAACTGAGTCTAGTTCCTTCGATATCAGTGTAATCTAATAATCATGAAATCTGCTATTATTCACCTGAGTACATTACACCAACACAGCAGATTACAAGTAAAATAGATTTCATGAAAATATGTAATTTATACTTATGATGTCATATTTCCTTGATGTCATCAACGTTTGTTCGAAGATGGAAAATCTTCTTATATTAATATAAGAAATAAGAAGATTTTACTTTTAAAAAAATCTTCTTATATCCAACCCTGTGATGGAACAATACACTCAAAGTTATTTTAACATTTGTTTTAGATTGAACGCCAACAAGAGAGTATATCTTTACTCGACACAAAAGAGCAGTCTATGTCACACAGAAAGAGAAAACTTGAAAATGAAAAGGCTAAAGGTATCGAAGTGGCACGGAAAAGAAAAAAGACTGTAAGACAACAGATTCCATCTGAATTAAATCCACAGAACCCAGAAAAATTTCAGGATTCGATGAAAGGTCGAACAAGTAGGCGAAGACGAAAAGAAACCCTAGATTCTTGTAAGGTCATACACAGGGATTGTGTAGGTAATATTTGGAAATTACGTTTAGGCATGCTGTAGCAGTTGTAAAGAAGCCTACAGTAACTTCAGTAATGAGTATTTGTCTGTGACCTTGTGTGCTGTATGTTGGATGGCATTGATTTAACGGTTACTTTTTTCAACCTGATTACCCGACATGCATGCATTTTCTTAAGATTATAGTTCAGGTAGGATTTACCCCGGCCAGAGTCGCACCATTAACCCTTCCACTAGTTAGATGGTAACGAGACCAATGGCCATGGCAGATAGTCTTGTTAACCCATTAAGTGGCAGTACTCTACCCTTGACCAGTAAAATCACCTGGCACTAGACACAGTGAAATACTAATTAAAGTACTGTGCATAAAGGCGCAATGGCATGGGTTAAAGAGTTAAAGAAATTTACTTTACTTTTGTAGGTAAAACCTCTGCAGCTCTTGCTGGAATGTGGGTGACTCTCATTAATGAGAGTACAACTGAACAACTGATGGCATGTGTGGAGACATCCCCAAAGATGCAAAGTAAAGTTATTCCTGGTATAGTAAGCAAACAAGTTAAGCAGAACGAAGCAAGCAGGATAATATGTGTCGCAGTTTAAAAATCTTATATGAGAAAGGCCTACTATCCAAGGAAAAGTACAAAGCTATCTGTAGAAATATCCAAACAAAATTTAGTGAGTCATTAAGTACTCCAAGGCTTGTTTACTACGACAAATTGATTGCTTTCATTAAGTCAGTCAATTTGGACAATGTCCATGATTTTGCAACTACATTTTGTAAGGCAAATATAGGTGAATTTGAAGAACAAGTCAATGGGTCATATAGAGATTTCTGCAGTTATATTACTACTTTAGCAGAACTTTATATACTTGTTGATCAAGCGTTGGGTTCTGAATCATTTTTCCAGCATTTCGTAAGTTTGCCATATCATTTCAGGGTCGCCATTGGAGCTGACGGTGCTCCCTTTGGTAAAGATGACGAAGCCACGGCTTGGCTTGTCTCATTTCTAAATGTCGGTAAACATATCCAAAGTGAGAAAGACAACTTTCTGATATGTGGGGCAAATTGTTCAGAAACCCATGAAGGTATGATGCAATATGCTAAGAAGTGAATGCATGATATTGCATATATTGAAAACCATCCAATCAATATTAATAGTTTAAACTGTAAATTTACTGTAGAGCTTATCCCTTCGGATATGAAATGGTTATTTGCTATGGCTGGAGAGCTCAATAACGCGGCCTATTACTTTTCACCTTTGCAGATGTCAATAATGATAACAAGGCAATCCCCAATGGAACCCTGGGGGGAGACCCATCATGCACGTGGCACCCCTGGGATTATGAGGAAAGGGTTAAGGTGGCAAAGAAAGTTGCGGCTAAAAAGGAGCAGCTATTTAAGACTAATGTTTCCTCCAAAACGAAAAGAAACAAGCTTCTTAATTTTATTAAGGAACAGGGATCCCGGCAAGAGTATGAACCAGTTTTAGGTAAATTGATAGATTGTGGATTTGCCAAACCCCTACACAATAGCAATAATGCATGGGGTTATCTGCATAATCTTATGCTTGAGATTGCTTTGTCTAAATCGAATATTACACCAAACTGCAAAGAAATTGACCAGTTGCCGGCAAATTCTACCTTAGTCATTTACCTCACTATCTTGGAAGAGACGGTACGTGTCCCTCAACTAGTTAAAAAAATAAAAACTTGGTTTGGTGAGGGTCGAAAGACTTCCTTCGCATATAGATTCACAGGGAAAGAGAAAAAACTTTTGTCGTAAATTTATGTTTGTGCTGCAAGCATTGAGTAATCCTGCTGACTCCCCCGAGACACAGTTTAAGGCTTGCATCAATAGCTTTTTGTTGCATACAATTACAGGATGCTGTATCATACTTTTCTCGTGTAAACATTACCCAAGTCGAAGTTGAAAAGTGCAAAAATGCTTGTTTGCATTTCTTTAATGCCAAATGTACTGCTATTGAGATCAGTCACACCAACCATTTGGACAGTAGGTTATGCCATACCAAGACACCTTCAAATACTGTTTGACAGATATGGCATGGGGTTAGGTCTCAATAGCATGCAGGGTCGGGAAGCGAAGCACCTAAGGCTTTCCCAGTTTGCAAAACACTCTACTAAATCGACACACTGGTCGATGGTCTTGCGACATGATTATATTTCCAATGGATTCGCAAACATGAGCCAAGCCATCTTTCGTACACAAAGTACAAAATGCACTACATTCCAAATGAAACTGAATTGGAAAATTCTTGTTATTGTGGTTTCCCTTTAAGCAAGAACATGCATAGTTGTAGTATTTGTTTATCAAGTATTTTTAAGGATGTTCATAAAGCAGCAGTAGCTGGTTGTTTGACCAATGAAGTACGCAACATATTGTTAATCTGAACAAATAGTTAATATGTGAAATAACTAAAGCTTTAAAATTAAGTGAATGTAAAAGTACTTTGGTTGTTCTTTGATAATATTCCATGCATGTATTTTAGAATAACATATTTAAATCATACATTGCACTTTTATGCAATTTTATCTTTTAATCTATTTTATGATCTTTTAATCTATTTTATGAAAATGTATTTGTATCTATGTTATATAGAAAATAGTGTTTACACTAATTAAAGTGAAATTAAATATTGTTATGTTATCTTCTAATAACTACATTGTACTTAGCTTACATCATGCATTATTATCATGCTTGGTCTAGTGAAGCAATTCTCACAAAAGTTACTTTGGCATTAAAATATATCCAAAGTAAGGCTCGACCGTGAACATTCCCCATATTTTCGTGGTGATCTGATCATTATACTTTAACTCACATGCATATTGATGTTTTCCACAAAAATCAGTGCCCTTCGGGTAATCAGGACTTAAATTGAAAAGAACTGCTTCATCCTTGAAAAATATTATTTTCAAATTAACTTTGCAGTTCATGCACAGTCCTGATTACATGAGTGGGGCAATTTTGTCAAAAAAAACATCAATATGCACGTGAGTTAAATTATAATCATATTACCCACCTGCTGCAACAGCAAGTTAAAAGTTATATAGATAAAAGGTATGTTACTTTTATATTATAAACCATTAATATGGGCATTTCACCCCCATGTGTCCTATTTTATTATTCTCTCTGTCAAACCCCGGACGATTTCACTTGGCAAGGTTAGAGTCTTGTCGGTTAATGGGTTAAATTAGTTAAAGTCCTATGATTCCATACCAAAGGTTCAATGTAAGCCAAGCATCACATAAGATCATATACCTAGGTTTGCCTCAGATATACTTAATTGACCTATATTTATTAGGAAGCAAGTTACAATAAATATATTGGAGTTTTCATGCAACTTAAAAGTGACTATAGGCCGGTTTACACGACAAGCGTTTTGGGCACGGCACCCCTGAAAATGAACACCGTGCCAAAACCGCCACTTCGCTATTTACTCATTTACACAACAACATTTTGTAAACACACTTTTATGATAGGCACCGTGCCCATCGGAAAACGGCACCTCTAGTTTCCGTTTACGACGGTATATTTTAAAGAATAAATATGTCGGACATAAATGGAATTATATATTTATATTTATTGGAACGAAGAAGAGTATTATATGAGCCGAAAATCGAGGGAAAAAACCAATTCAATACTAGAAAAGTACTTTAAGGGTCAGCTGATATGGGCAAAAGTTATCCCGGTTAGCGAGAACACTTTTCGACAAGTTTACAAACGAGATCTTGCCTTGGTATGAAAATAATATGAAAAGTTACACTCCGTTCATATGAGACAAAAAGTTTTCCCGTGTACCGAGATCTCGCTTGTTGACAAGTCAGATCTCTGTGACCGGGATAATGTTTTTCCCATATGCATGAACACAACTTTACCGCTTATAGCGGGATAACTTTCTGTTGTATCAGCATCTTTTCAATTCAATTGATATTCAGTGCGTGCCCATCGGAAAACGGCACATCTATTTTCCGTTTATGACGGTATATTTTAAAGAATAAATATGCCGGCCAGAAATAGAATTATATATTTATATTTATTGGAACGAAGAAGAATATTATATATGAGCCGAAAATCGAGGGGAAAACCCAATTCAATACTAGGAACGTACTTTAAGGCCCAGTTCATATGGGCAAAAGTTATCCTGGTTAGTGAAAAAACTTTTCGAAAAGTTTACAGGCGAGATCTCGCCTTGGTATGAAAATAATATGAAAAGTTAGTTTACACTGCGTTCATATAAGACAAAACGTTTTCCCGTGTACGTACCAAGATCTCGCTTGTCAAGTGATGTTTTTCCCATAATTATGAACACCACTCTAGTTCCCGCTTGGCAGGATAGCTTTCTGTCGTGTCAGTAACCTTTCAATTCAATTGGTATTCAGTGCTATGTCACAGCCGGAAACTTTACCCGGTAAGCGGAATAACGTTTCTCCATGCATGTGAACAGAACAAAAGTATATTTGGCTAGTCGAAAAATTTTCTCGTTAACCGGGATAACCTTTGCCCATGTGAACAGGCCCTTAAAGACAAAAGGAGTTGTTTTCTCGCATAAATGTTGTGGCATCTTGTATTCACCCGTCACAAATTCGAGAGGTATGGACGCATCGAACGACAGCTATCTGCTACGACCTATTTACTGCTCTATTCAGCGACGAACAGTGGTATCAAAATTTCCGAGTCAACTAGATCAACATTCACATTCTGTGTTAAATTTGTTTTTTAACTTTGTTTTTTTTTTAATTTTTGGCAAAGTTGTAGTTTTTCGCCGCTTGCTGCCATGTTGGAAAGAGGACAATTTGTTTTGCGCATGCTCGATGTCGAACACATTTTTTAGTTTTTTTCGAAATTTGGGCACGGCACCCCTTGCTAGACGTGCCAAGACTACCTCGTGAGAAAGTCTCGGCACGTTTAAATTTTACGACACTGGGTGCCGATTTTTGTCACGTTTACACACCAAAAGGCAGAGGTGCCGTCCCTAAACACTGGTCGTGTAAACCGGCCTTATATTGTTGGACAACCTGCAGGTACTGTTGCCATTAAGAGCAAATAATTTATGTATTTGCCATTGCTTGAAGGCAGTTGTCCACCTATGTTGGTTATCAACAAGGGCTGTTTTGATTTAATTATCAAAACTCAAACACAAATCAACTAACCAGTTAAACAACAAAAGCTTTAAAGTTAAGTGTATCTAAAAGTATTTTTGATGTTCTCTGATAATATTCCAAACTTTAGAAAACATGTTGAGGAACACCAAACTGGTTCCAATGGCCATAATGAAAAATAATCTTTACATTTCCTTGCCTTTTGGAGAAGTTTATAATCAGTGGGTGACTACATGAAATTACTGCTTTACAGAACCCATTGTTCCTAAACAACCTGTACAAAATGTCATTTTCATCAACTGTAGTGTAGTAATTTCCTGTATAACATGTATCATCCAGTGAATAGCTGCCTCTGCTGTAGTTATATGAAGCTGTTCCACACATTTGGTCTTTTTAACAACAATGCCATAATCGCCTTTAATGACTGTAAGCCTTAACAAATTAAAAATTTCTTCGTGCATATTTCTAACAATACAGACTTGCCAGGGATGAGCCAAACAAGTTGCAGCCCAAGTCTACGACTTGCGATCCCGGTCCAACAAAGCAATTCTCGCGAAACCATTGGGTATAGTTCAGCAACATGATACATGCACGCATCTTCTCCTACATACACATACTTTTTTACAACTTCTTTAGATCGTAACAGAACTTCGGATCCGATTTTACCTGCTAATTCCTTGTCATTAGCCTTTTTTATGTACTCATTTACTATTTCGTGCAGCTTGACAACAAGCGATTACAGGACGCAATACCTCACTCATAGACTGTTGAATAATGGTGTCCACTTCAAAATTGTCCAGTTTCCTTATTCCACGATTTGAACAGAATAACCGAATGTTTCTCTCCGAGAAACCTCGACTAACCCCAGGAAAATGCTGCTTGAAAATGTTGCTAATCTGCCGATTTGACTAATTCTTTTGAACATAGTTTTTCACATCTTTGATATTTTGCTCCACTATTTTGATTTAACAATAAGCGAATAAATTATTGGTATACACTTAAATTAAATGATATGCTTTAATGTGCATTAATGCGTTGGCAGTTGATAAAATTCCAGACCATTTTTAATCTGATTGAGTATCAACAGATTAAATAAAAAAGGGTACCCTTTTTCGTCTTATTATAAAAGATCATATTTTACAGAAAAGGGTACCCTTTTTCATATTACTATATAAAGAACATAGATGATCGAAAAGGGTACTCTGTTTCGTCTTACTACAAAACAACATGGTTGATCGAAAAGGGTACCCTTTTTCATCATTTTACAAAACGATGCAGTTGAGCGATAATCGTACCCTTTTCAGTTATTTTTATGGAGATTTGATTTGTATATATTCATTAGATAATCCGCGTTTTTTTCGCTTTTAATTTGAAACTGGTATCGACGTAAAAGGGTAATTAAAATGAACCAATTCACTTATCACGCAAATCTCAAAAAAGGGTACTCTTTTATGAAAAATAAGGTAGGGCTTTTAGACATTTTTCAAAAATAATTTATGACATCGAAAAGGATATGGAATTTTGTGTTATCGATAAGAAATATGTGAGTCGAAAGACAAATGTGCGGCAAATTTGACTTTCAACTTTCAGATTTTCTCGATTTTAGAATTGCCAGAACCGTCCACTGATTTGATAAATGCCAGACAACGTGTTACACGCATTTATAATTGTGTTGGAAACGCGCAGTTGCCAAGTAACTACAGTGTTAATTGACGCAATTAATATACACGCCAGATATGTCAAATACTAAGGATGGAATGATAAAAACGATGCTGGCGGTGAAACTACGCATAGTTGCGTAGTAGCCACAGAAGATCTGCATGCCAGAAATTGCTGTGCACGCGAAACAAGATAAACAGGCACTGTAAAGCATGGCTTCGAAAAGGGCAAAAGTCGACTTTTCTGCTGAAGCCATTTTGCGAAAAATCCAAGAGAGAAAAGAGCTTTTAAACCATATAAATACCTTAAAAGGTCAACGGTATTAGAGGAGGTTACAGATAGTCTGAGAAGTTTAAGGAAACATGTAAACTTCGATGTTGTTGGCTTGCTCGCGTTTATGTTCGGATTCGACGCAATTATGTGGATTATGTTAGCAATCAGACATGTACCCAAAACCTTCGCGAGATACAAAAATAGTCACTGCAACATTATTTTTACAATAATCGATCACTTATGCCCCTGCCGGTTTTCAGTGACATTGGTTGACGATATTGTTTGTTTTCTGGAAGAATTTGCACCTGAAAGCCCTTTCTTGGGAAATTATTCTGCTGTTTTTGAGGAAGCCTTATGTACCCTCAGCAAAAGAGAGAAATTAAATTTTGGTGGTTTCATCGTGCCTCCTGTGGAGGACTGCTTGAGATGTGGATCCATTTTGTCAGCTCCGAATCCTCCGAGCAGTTGTACTTTGTATACAATCACTGGCCCACCTAAACAGTGCGCGAAACTGGTGCTTCGATGTAAGGACTGCAAAGTCTCGTATGGTCGCTCAATGCATGATAGCTGAAGGCAAAGGAAACGCTTCCTACTATTCTGAGGATATAGCTGCTGATGATGATCTTATTGAAGTGACCAATGTTGTATACAAGGAGAAAAGATTATACAGATGGCTACTGTCCCTTATGTAAGTAACTAAAATATAGATATTAAAATATATACGGTATTGGTATAGACATAGTAAATTCAGTTTAATTTCTTTGTATGACGTCTGATGACCACTCTCGAAGTTTGTTCAACTTGCGGTCAAAGAAATTACATTTATTGCCTGCATGCATGGATCTCAGCAATATTAAACGCAAGTTATATGACCTATTTTCTTTTTGCAGGAATCATTATTTTCTTTCATTTGAGGGATTTTCAGTGTCCTATAATGAGTTGTTCAGTTGCGAAATTAGAGAAAATTTTGAATCGGGTAATTTCATTGACATTCTTGGACTTATTACTATTAGTTCATTCCTTCGAATATATAAAAATACTTTAATATAGTTTATAATAACATGAATCGCATTTAGATGGTACAGGAGATCAAAATGACGACAAGCATCAAAATTTTGTTCCCAGTTTCTCAGATGGTAAGCAACTAATGTATCTATAATTTTCAATATGGTTGTCACTTGTCATGTAAAAGAGCAAGAATTCCTTGACCTTGTTATTGTTGTCATAATATAAAGCTTTCTATTATAAAGTGTCTCGAATTCATGTTTTTATAATACTGAAAAAACCCTTTAGTTGGCTTGAACATTTTTAGACCATTAGTCATGCATGTTTAAAAATTTCTTCAGGCAAGTTTTAAAATTTGTCGTAAACCTAAATTAAATGTTTGAAAGAGTAAAAAAATAAACTGTGTGTGTCCGTCTGTCTAGCTTTTAAATTGCGGAATTGAAATAAACTGTAGATGCTGTTAACTACCCTTACAAAAAAGTCCAATTGGATCCAATTGGAATTCTAATTGGAATTTGGAATTCCTATTGGAATTCCAATTGGAGCCAATAGGAATGAAATTCCAATTGGAATTCCAATAGGCATTCCAACAGGAATTAACAGGAATTCCAATAGGAATTCCTATAGGAATTAAATTCCAATAGGAATTCATTCCCATGGGAATGAGATTCCAATAGGAATTTCAAACAATATAAATTCTAATTGGAGTACCAATAAAAATTCAATACAAATATAACTACAGTGTGTATCATAAAAAAGGCTAGTCATTGAAATTCAATAATAATAGGAATCCAATAGAAATTCCAATAGGAAAATAATTCCTATTGGAATTTCAATAACAACTCCAATAGGTATATCTTGTTAGCAAGAAATTCAAAGAAGTCAAAATACTTTCTAATAAGAACTTTAAAATGAAATATGTTGGTTTGATATTGCACAACAGAAAACAGAACAAAAGACTGTTTTGAACAAAGGCATATAAATTGGGATGAAATAAAATGTGAATTTATGTAGAAGTTTCATCGGAAAATAGTCATGTGATTAATGGCCGGACAGAATCAAAATCAACCAATCAAAACCAAAAAAGACGGATAAGATGCTATGTTGTTGCAGCTGGCCTATGTTAGTTGAGTTTGATGAATGTTTCCACTTTTCAAGAAACAGCTTTTCTGTATTTTGTGACTGTCATTAGCACGAGATAGGTAAGATGCCACAAATGTTTGTGCTCAGACAGTCCACTGTAAATTAGTTAATAAAATGTTCGGCTAGGGTTTATCAACCTGACTTCAAGTAATTTCTATCCTGCTTGTAGAAACTGTAAAGTTTGCTACAAACATTGATTCTGGTTTGCTTTTTAGTACCTATTCCCTTTTTTGTATCCTATTCCATATAAAAGAACATGAACCAGACTATACAATTCACAAGTATAAAAACATACCATCTTCAAACAATAGACAATGATTTTTAACAACTTATAATTTAAAAAGTAGCATATACTAGTTTTTAGCATTGAAATTTTGTACAGTAATCATAAATAAAACTATATATTATTAATATATTTACAATTATATCCAAACTATGCAAGGTTATTTGCACTATGTAGTATGTACATGAAGAATTACGAGGAAACAGAACATGAACAATACAGGGTGCTTAAAAAAGCTGAACAGATTTGAAATCACTCTCAATATTAGTTTGTTGCAAAGGAACTCCCCCTAGTTTACAAAATTTGTTATCGAGTTTTTTTCGTTTATTCTACATCCTAAGTACTTGAAGAATCTATATGTAAAAATCGTGATAACACGAGCTATTTCACGTAATTGAGAGCAATTTGAAATCTGTTCGGTTTTTTTTATACACTCTGTATACTACATGTATATTTAAGCTACAACAATTAATGAGCTGTTCGTACATTTAGTCACCATAAAACCTACACGGAAGTTCGCACATAAATGTTCTATTCCCTAATTTGATGGTAACGCATTTCCTCATAATTGAAATTAAAGGAAATATCCCAAAAACTCTGGTGTCCACGATAACTTCTTGCATAAAATCGGATTGTACGTGACAATCTCGATCCTGGTACAACACTTGGCCAGTGCACTTCTTAGCATTAACAAAGACAATGTTATACTTTGCACACTCGCAATACTGTAATTCAGCACTGTTGCAAGAACATTCTGGTTTCACAACATACAACCCAGAAACAGTTCCATACTTGAACTCGCCATGTTCAACACTTATGGCGAAATCGTGATGCCGAGTTGACCGATGATACCTTTCACTTGTGTACAACGTGTTATGAGCTAGAAACCTATCATACACAATAGCTGAGCGGTTGTGCACGTCTAAATTTGTTAACTGCATTACAGCAACAATCTGGCGTGCAGTTAAAACTGTGGGCTTTCCATTCCCAAGACCAGTAACGTTGTCCTCGAGCATGTGGGCATTCTTTCCTGGCATATACGCACTTGATAATTTCTGGAACATATGGGCAACTGCTGGATTGGTGTCCTCCGTAAAATGGTGACTGGCAATTGTTGGTAATTTCCGAGCTAGCATAAATGTCTCACAGATTTGTTTTGGGACATACTGAGTGCCATGGTACATCTTCAGAAGCATGTGATTATTTGCTTCAAATACGAATGCAGACGTAGCCCACAATGGGCCACAATTTCGGACTCCGTCTGCCAGGTGGGTAAGTAAGTGAACATTGAAGGTGCATGCAGATAAACCATATAACTCTTCCATCTGGACAACAAATTTGTTCAGACAGGCTTGAGCCAAATCTACCTTAGAGTGGGTGATCTTATCCCCCAAGAGACTGTAGATCCCGTAAACTAAAAGGAAAAAATGTTTCATGTAGATATCTGGAAGAATACCACGAAGTATTACCAGGCCGTAAAACATGAAGGCTCTCCATTCAGACGCTTTCCAATATTTGCGCTCCCGTAACGAACGTGGAGCTCTCGTTATCTCGGATGGTGGGGAAATAGACGTCAGCATATCATCAAGTTGCGATATCTTCCGCCCTATATAAAAATCATTCTCGTGATTTTTAGATTCCAGCCACAAATTTGACAGTTGACGCATAGCACCTTGGCAAACAGAATGCATATATTCAGGTGCAAAGCCTCGGACTGTATTAAAAGTTGGGAAACCTTCAATGACTGAAATCCCTTTGACACCCATCACAGCTTCTCCAGTTTCGTTGGCCTTAATTGCATATCTTCCTTGTTGTCTTGCTGTTCTCAAAACAGGATCACCACGGATGGGGTAGTAGCGTGTGGGTGGACCATTCTCTCTTACGACACACTCTCCAGGGTGTTCGCACCAATCGCAACCATGCTGTCCATTAAATTGCTTACAATTTCTCACTATAGCACGCGCTGGAGTATCAGCAGAGCAAAGAAGACTAAATGCTTTCCGAGGGAGTCTCTCAATTCTACTCACGAAACCAGTTCTTTCTAGCTCTCCACATTCTTTAACAAACAGAGTAAGAAATGTGTTCATATGCGGTTTTGATTGCCCAAACCACAGTCCTGTCACAAGAATGTTCCTTGACCGTAGGTGAGGAGGCAACTCATTTACCATACATTGAATAGGCCAAATGGAGTATTTCAACGACTTGAACACAGGTACACCATCTGTGTTCCAAGTTAGTGTAATGTCATTGCCAGACAGGTTGTGTTTCCTTACCAGCTCTTCATACAACTTTGAAGAACTGATATCAGATATGTAAATAGTCCGAGTTGTCAAATCACGACTGGTCAAGAAGGGGTGCAACTTTGCATCACTTAGCAAATCAATCAGCTGCTGCTTTAATGGTATATAGAGGAAAAAGTTACCATTTTTTATGCAATCATCACTCACAAATTCCTCTCCACAACCATTACATTGTTCTCTTGTCTTGTCTTTACCCAAATAGGCACCACATAAAGGACAATAAAAGTGCACCTGAAATATATTTTAAGATTCAAATGCCACATTAGTTCACTTGGGTGCGGGCTCTTAAGAATATATTAATAGTAAAAAGACTGGATAGGAAAAAAGCTGAAACCAGTAACCATAATTTGTCACTTTTAAATAAACAGGCTGCTGTAGTTAAATGATGGCATTAAATATATTTACAGGCCTTTTGACTGTATTTTTCAACAAAGCATTTCAACAAAGGAATAAAGTTTACTTAAATTTTTAATTCACATGACTAAACTCTAGAAAACCAATGAGAGATCTAAAAACTTTAAGGTCATTCATATGGTCATGTGATCATTTGTTTCCTATCCACAACTATTTCACAGAAATTACACAATGGCAAAACTGCTGTGAGTATAATTATACGGAATTAAACAAATTGATGTGAGTTTGGGTTTCGCTAAATCAGATGTGGCAAAAACATGGACTTTAATCCTAAAATTTTGTGACTTGGTCACGTAAGTCACAGCGAAATGGCTGTCCAGATTTTTTATTATTTATGGTTAAGAGTAATAACATACAGTAGTCCATTTTCTAGTCAAAATTGGACATCACATTAGATACTTCACAAAAAAAGTAAACCAAGACAAGATTAGTATAACTGGAATGTTTTTGCTGAGCAAAATGCACGATCATGGCAAAAATAAATGGAATTGCTACGCAGCTGCATAACAGAACACACATTTAATTGTACCATGACTGTTAAATTTATGGCTAGGAGTAATTATCTACCACAAATGTTTCCATTAACTTTTGCTCACTTTTAATTTCATGTGACTTAATGCCTGCGCAGTTAAGGCTTGTGTAAGGCAAATATGATTAGAAAATGTTGACATTTTACAGCTTTATACTAACCTCAGATTCAGGTGAGTCAAATGTCTTGTAAAATTTGTATTTGGAGGTTGGGAAGATGTTTGGGAAATGTATATTGAGTATACCCAGTAAATCTGTAAGAGCTTCATCTGTCAAGCTGTGTCGCAGGAGAAATGACAACAGAATTAAAATACTCTGTGCCCTGGTGATAACTGCTCCTGGATAAACAGGTTCATTCCCATCTTCAATATGCAGGCCCTATAAAGTATAAAATCACATGAATTAGATTAAAAATTTGATGATGGATCAACACTTCCATATAGCATTAGTTGTCATACAGTATATTGTAGCCTAGAGGCAGGAAACATAATGGAAAATTTAAAGAATATATAAAAAAAGTCATGTTAGTAGTTCAGAGTGCAACCCAACCTCGCAAGCCAGGCTGCGCTTGGACTACGGCAAAGACCTGATTGGAGTTCGTCCCGTAACCCCCCAGAAATTAGGGGTCATTCTAATTGTTTCCCCCTAGCTTGTATTAAAATTGCCTTGTTTTATAAATATCTTGTTTTCGCTTTCTGGCTATTGTAATATTTATGAAACAAGGCAATTTTAATACAAGCTGGGGGTGACAATTACCTCTAATTTCTGGAGGTTCATGTGACCAGCCCCAACCAGGATTTTGCCGTAGTCCAAGCTCAGGCAAAGAGCCTGTCTTAATTGCAAGGTGGAATGCAACCTCATCAGAGTGGTCTTGTCAACAACATGTCCACTACTATTGTAGGTGTACGGTATGCAAAATTCCCTTGCCTAATGATTGTTGCCTTATTGAATTATTTAGATTTTGACAATTAATATAACAAAACACTTAATTATTTACAAGAACCTTGGGAAACAGTGAGTTTGGTTGACCTCAAACTGTGACTTTTTTTGGCCACAAAACTAATTGTTTCAATAGTCTGGTACCACTAAATAAGTGATGAACGTAGCAACACAGAAACAAGAGGCCAAGGGATTAATGAGGGTCTTATGGACTAATAGACTATCTTCTGAATATTTGCAAATAGTTAACAATTATTTACCAAGGTGGAGGTGAATAGCGGAAAAACATTGACTTAGACGTGAATCGTCCTTAATTGCACTTTCACCGAAACGGAGGTGAATAATTGTTTTTGCATATATTCCTAAAATTTGATGAAACTACACCACATGCAATGTTATTTTCGATATTTCCAAATGTATATTTATACAAAATAAATCTTTTCATAAATGAAAACTTTTTGTTTTGTTTACCAAGAAAAACTTTCTGTCATGTCAGTTTTGCTGAAATGGCAGGATTCCGACTTGCTTGAAATGACGATTTGAGTACTGTAACCATTCAAATTGCACAAAAGCACTATCCACCTTCTGAGGATATGCTAATATCAATTATAGACATTTTTTTCTGTGTTGGTGTAGTGTACTCAAGTGATTATGATGTTTGTGATGTTACTCTGAGTGTATATCCACACCGGGCGAGCTTGAAAAATATGCCCGGCCACGGTGGGATTCGAACCTACGACCTTTGGAATACTAGCCCAATGCTCTTCCAACTGAGCTACGCGGTCAGGACGGTTCGAGTAAGTGATATTTCGGAACAGAATCTAGTTTCTTCAATACCAATGTATTCTAGTAATATGATTTTTTTCTGTGTTGGTGTAGTGTACTCAGGTGAATATGATATTCAGGTGAATATGATATATGATATATACACCAACACAGAAAAAAATCATATTACTAGAATACATTGGTATTGAAGGAACTAGATTCTGTTCCGAAATATCACTTACTCGAACCGTCCTGACCGCGTAGCTCAGTTGGAAGAGCATTGGGCTAGTATTCCAAAGGTCGTAGGTTCGAATCCCACCGTGGCCGGGCATATTTTTCAAGCTCGCCCGGTGTGGATATACACTCAGAGTAACACCACAAATATAATTATAGACATGATTATATGTGTATATATATATTACGTCATAATTTTCATCTGTTGATTCTTCTTCTGCATTTCTATTGTCAACAATGATTCTGTCCTAAAAAGAAGCAAATTGGTTAAATCAATTACAGCCTACAGGGCAGTATTGACAAATTATTTATGAAAATTATTATTTCTGAACAATACCTGCTGGTCTGGCTCTTCAACTTCAGATTCGAATCTTTGGCTCTGTGATACACTGCTGTCTGAGTCACTGAAGTCAGTGTCTTGTCCGTTTGCATCATGTTGAAGATGGTCAATGCTCTCCTAAAGTGTAACGTTAAGCTAAGATAATTAATCAAGTACTATTGTTTCTACGATACACTCCTGGATTTAACTGCGACGATTATAATTTGCTAAAGAAGAAAGGTCATTAAACACGAACAAATCTTATAAACGAACTTATATACAAAAATATACATACCTCGTCAATATTTTTACGTATCTGCTCATCAACTTCAAACTGCAATCGTTGACGTTTTCTGTAAACAGTTCTTCTTGGAATAGTATCGTTGCCATTGACTGTATACTGTTTGTAAGGTCCTCTTGTATTCATCCTCTTCTTGGCAACAATTTTCGAAACATTTTAAGCCAATATTGAATCGATATTTTTGCGTTTTACACAATACTGTGTAGTCCAGATATTGATGAATATGTAAATACGTTCTTATTGACCAGCGGTTTGCCAATTAAATCCCGAGTAAAATATCGCGCGAAATTTGATTGGTCTACGAAAAGCGTAACAGTCACATGACAATATTTAGCTTGTTTATCATTGCAAATCATTGCATCATTTGCACGCTGCATTGGAACAAAATTTCAACTAGAATCTCTTGGGAATATTTTTTTTTGAAATCGCTAACTTTAATATTGAAATGAAGTGGGCAATTTTTGAGTTTGAAGATCGCACGTGTGAAATCGGACAGACATCATGGATTTTGAACGAAGATGAGAGGAAATTTACGAACGATGTTTGGTTGTTTAAAACAGAAATAGCCGTCAGATGGCCCAAAGACTTCGGCAAGGTTGCAAGAAAACTAGGAAAGACACCAGTCGACATATGTGAGGTTTCTTCTATACTGTGCACTGCTACCATAATCAAATTTAGCGGTAAGTGTATACTATAAATACGCCTCGGTATGCTATAAACTTTGAAAACGATTTATACGATATTCATAGATTTTTTTATCAAGCATGTGGCAGTTTGGCTGTGACAAATCGCAAATAAAACTAAAAAATTTTAGAATGCTTAATCACATAAACGTGAATAAAAATGTGGTATTAGTTGTGACAAAATGCCTTGGTTTACTTAATTAATATAAACTAATTAATATATTGTGAGGGTTTAAAATAAGTTTTCTCTCCGAATACACGAGATTGGCGTCCTATGCCATGCTGGCCCACACATAAGAGGGGAGGCCGCTGAGGCCAGCAGGATTGACCAGGGGATTGTAATTCTCCCATGGTTTCTTGATTTTGTTTTTACATATAGCTATAATGAAATATGGTTTGAGTAATGTATATATATATACGCATGCAGTGTAAACTATATTAAAGCAAACAGTGTCTTAGGGGCTGTTTATATGAGGCGAGCCAGCTCGGGTACCCGAGCTAGCTCGCTTTAGGCGGGATCCCGTCTTTGTTAATATTTCCTACTAAATTTCATGTTGCGTTTATATGAGAACCGAGCTGGCCCGCCTAACTGAGGTCCCGCTTCGTGTGAGCTGCGGCTCGCTTCCATATAAACAGCCCCTTAAATTTGAAAGGACTAAAAAATCACTTTGTTATATAATTATTTTATTGTTAACAATATGTTATCTACAGGTACTGGTGAATACTTACTTTAATATACTAAGCCAAAATTTAATTTATGTTTTATTATTCATTATTTCATAATGTATTGTCCTTTTATTTTTTGTGTAATTACTGTTTATGGGGTATTTGATACACAACTTTATCTATTCATGAGTGTTTTGTAACAAATTTGGTTGTGATTGATTATGTAATTAACAAAGTTAAAGGAAAATAACTTAAGCAAGTCAACATAATTTGGTTATCGATACCACAGATTACTGTATTTATTATAGGTATATTATAGGGCAGTGCTGTAGATTAAAGTTAGTTCCTTTAGCTATACATATATATTATTTTATATAATTATATGACACAAATCTTAATTTCAGATGTATATGAAACAATAAAGGGTCATTTAGAAAATTATTTGAAGACTGGTGACACCAAAACACCTAACAGGGGGAGGGGTCAACAAGTTCCTAAAAAGAATTCCTGGTATGCACTTCAAACTGATTCGGAAAATGATGACACCTCCAGTCCTAAAAAGGTTTGTTTTAATGATAAAGCAGTATGTGAATGTGAAATACAAATTCTATAGCCAGTAATGAGCTCCAAGATTTGTTCTGTCCTCAAAGCATACAGTCTATAGTAAAAGCTGGTGACATGGTAGAATCTTGGTAACTTTATAATCTAATGGCAAAGCATGGTTGAACATACCATAATTCTGCATGTATGATTGTATTTTAGAATCCACAGAAGAAGCTTAAGTACACAAAACCTGCCAATGATGGTAATTTGGTGAACCTAGTGCAAAACAAATATGGGCTGGGTGATGAATCTGTAAGTAAATAAATATTTTTTTAAATAATGTGAAACATACTGTACTGTACAGTGCAGTGAGAAGTTAATTTGTGACAAGTGTATTAACTTATTAACGACTAGTATTGTACTCCACAACTGTCGAGTAAAATCGCCTGGCATTAGACAGAGTAAATATAGGGCACATTGGTGTGTGTGCATTGCCTGCTAGTGGTACTTACAGTGGTACTGCAACGGTTTTTTGTGCTACACCTGAAAATTTGTATTCTTAAATCTTAACATACAAATACATGATTGTAGGATAGGGAAGGGTCAGACGATGATGATTTCACAAAAACGAACAATGTACAGAAGTTGTTGGATCTCCGAGGTGAAAATAAGAAATTGCGGGAAGAAGTCAGAGATATGAGACAGGAGATCAAGGATGATGGTGCTTATGAACATGTATGAACGATGAACAACAATATTGTTCAGTTTGTATTGTTAATCTGTATTCTTGATTTGGCGAAGTTATGTATGCACGACGATGAAGTGAAGTCAATTGCGAGTTTTAAATCTGCTTGCCCAGTTACAGTTGTATCGTACGCAAAGGGGAATCCCTACGTGAGAAAATGTTTTCTGAAGCGAAGGATCAACTATACTGTAAGGTCGTCGGCTACGTTCAACCCGGCAATACTCATGCTGACGAGAAGTGGGATAAATCTAGTAAACCCCGGACCAGAACGGAGAATAATCGAACAAGATAACTCGAATATTACAACAACGCCTGGTTCCGCACATTCAACTCAACTAATAACCTCGGCGTCTTCTCCAAGTCTTGAGAAACCCTGGATAACTCATATGAATTGTAGAAGTGTTATATCTCACATTGATGAACTACGGGTAACTTTTAAACATGTTTCTCCGCAGTGCATTGCTATTACGGAGACTTGGCTGAATGATTCAATATTTGACTTCGAAGTCGACATTGCGGGATATACCGTACATCGCCTCGACCGACAAAGTAGACGTAGGGGAGGAGGTGTTGCGTTCTACTTATCTAATGGTCTAAAATGTACTCGTAGAAAAGACTTGGAGGAAAATTTTGAAGCAATCTGGATAGAAACTCGAATTCGGAATATTAAATATTTGCTCGGATGCGTTTATAGGGCTCCAGACGAATCTTTAGAAATATTTGACTATATGGATGACACACTTAGGTATGCTACACAAAACAATTATGAGACCATTATCCTCGGGGATTTAAATTGTGATTGTCTCAACGCGTCTCTTAAACAAACAGAAAGACTATTTGAATTCCTCATGGTTAATGGTTTAGAACAACTCATTAAAAAACCAACTCGAGTAACAAACAATAGTCAATCATTAATAGACGTCTTAATCACCTCGACGCCCTGTCTTTTTAAGGGTGTAGGAGTTCTAACTACAGCTCTTAGCGACCATTATCCCATCTTTGGCATTATGCATGGTAAAACGACTCGACCTAATAAACATAAGATAATAACAACTCGGTCCTGGAATGAAACTTCCGTCAATGACTTTGTGGTTAGCTTGCAACAAGCTCCATGGAGTGTGACCGAGACTTTTGATGATGTCGACGATATGTCTTCTGCTTGGGACTTATTGATGAAATCATTGATTGAACAACACTTTCCTTTAAGACGGAAACGCATACGAAAGCAAACGCATCCATGGCTGAATGGTGAAGTACTTCGATTGATGAGAGCTCGCGACCAAGCTCATAAAAAAGCAGTAAAATCAGGACTGATTTGTGACTGGAACGAATACAAACATCTTAGGAACAGAGTGACGAGCGTAAATAGGAAGGCTAGGAGGAACTATTTCTCTAATAAGCTTAATGAAAATCGTAGTAATCCCCGTGCTTTTTGGAATATACTTCGTGGCGTTCTACCGTCTAAAAGTAATCGAAGCGTAATAAACAAGCTAGTGGTAAATGATAAAGAACTGACAAACAAGAAAGATATTGCGAATTCATTAAATGAATATTTTACGACTATTGCATCAACGCTTCTGGGAAATCGACCATCATTGGATACCGAACTATATCCAATTGAACAACCAATAAACAATCCCACAAGTACTTTTAAATTTCAATCCTTGTGCGAAGCAGATGTGTCTTATGCCCTGCAAACGATGGATTCATTTAAAGCTACCGGTGCAGATAATATTCCTGCCAAAGTTCTAAAGATTGCCGCACCTTACATTAGTAAAGTTGTGACGAACATATTCAACGCATCATATATGAGCGGTAAATTTCCCTCAATATGGAAAGTAGCAAAGGTAACTCCATTATATAAAGGAGGATTGAAAACTGAGCGTGACAATCAAAGACCAATATCAGTACTGCCATGTATCTCTAAAATCCAGGAATCTTTTGCAAATTCAAACCTTCAAGCTTTTGCACAAAATGTTGGCCTTATCAGCCAGCATCAATATGCTTATGTTAAACACTCCTCTACAACAGTAGCTCTTATTAGAGCCGTTGATGCTTGGAAATTAGCAATCGACAAAGGCGAAAAAGTTGTTTGTGCTTTTCTTGATCTTCGTAAAGCTTTTGATGTTATAGATCATGACATCTTACTACACAAGCTCAAACAACATGGTGTAAAGGATAATGAACTTGAATGGTTCAGAAGTTACCTCTCGAGCAGACGTCAGTTCGTCGTAAGTGGAGGAGCAGAATCAGATCATCGGAATATTACACACGGAGTTCCTCAGGGGTCTGTCCTCGGCCCAACATTGTTTAATATTCATATTAGTGGTATTCTCAATGTTTGTCAAAAGAGTAATGGTTCACTGTATGCTGATGACACTGAACTTTATGCTACCTCGAAAGATATTAACATAGCCGAACAATGTGTCAATGAAGACCTTAAACATATTGATTCTTGGCTTGATCAGTACGGTCTGATAAGTAATCATAAGAAGACGGAAGTCATGGTTATAGGATCCAGATATTCAGTGGCTAACGCGCGTGATTTACATGTTAAATTAAACGGGGAAATATTGAAACAGTCAGATCATTTTAGATACCTCGGTGTCGACATTGATAGCTGTTTGACATGGAAAAAACATGTATCGAATTTATCAGCGCGAATGTACCCTAAGCTCAAAATACTGAACCGAATATCGGCATTCCTTAGCTGTAAGACGTTATTAAGGATATATAAACAAACCATTTTACCAGTACTAGATTACGGCTGTATGGTTTGGGCAGAATGCGGAAAGGGGAATTCGCAGCGGTTAGAGCGTCTGCAGAATCAAGCGATGCGTATTATACTATCAGCAAATCGCAAAACGTGCACGCAAGAAATGCGCACTAAACTGGGCTTATTGTCATTAAGCAGCAGAAGGCGCTTTCTTCGTTTGCAATTAGTATATAAAATTATATACAACATTGACTGTCCACAACAACTAATTGGTTATTTTATTAGAAGATCAGAAACGCACAATAGATCCCTGAGAGACACCACGTTGTTGTGCGTAATTCCAACCAAATCGAAAATGGGCGAGTCGTCATTTCAATGTTCGGCCGCGAAAGAATGGAACGCCTTGCCAAAACACTTACGAGACTTAAAGACTTTGTCCTCCTTTAAAAACAATATTTTAAAGTTTTTCTTAGAAACTGATGCTCACGAACATCGTTGTAGCATATAGTAACTCTTAACACTAAATATTTATTTTTTTTTAAACATTTTTTATATCTATTCTAGTATTGCATGTGGTGTGGTTTTTTTAGATAATATATAGTATTATGGATGTAAACTATTTATATATTAATGCTGGTCATCGGTTTATACCAGCTGATATTTTGTTAGCTGATCGGTTTTTACCAGTTTAAATAAAGAAGTTATTATTACTATTATTATTTCAGTAAGTTTGAGAAGTGGAATACACTCTTCCGGAAAGTGCCAGCCTAGCTTTGTTTTCGTGATAGAGATACTGACTATCTTGAAACTGGTGATGTTATCTTGTGAAGGCTCTTTATTTTGTATATAATTTAACAAATATAAAACATTTTCCGTTAAATTTTTACTCGTTTTATAATTTTTTAATAGTATTTTTTGGGGGGATGGGGACGTTTTTCCACCATATCGGTGATATTTTTTGTACTGATGTTGCGAAGGCCGCCATTTTGCTTTAAGAACCTTGTATACCCAAGCCTACGCGCTCCTATCGATCAGTATATAGCGCGAAGGTCTGAACATGAGAAAAATTTCAAATATTAAACTGTTTTAAGCTGTAAAACGAAGAGATTTACATAAAAAAATATAAAAAAATTCAGAGGCGGCAGAAAATCGAGAGGCGGGTGGTGACGCTAAGCAAGTTTTTTTTTATTTGGCCTAAGTTCATGTCATTATTTCTTACAGTGAAAAAGAAAACAGTAACGAAATGAAGGAGAACAGTGTCGAAGATTTTCTTTCAGTTATTATGGATTTATTATCTTTTAAAAGGTAAAAAGAGGATGTTATTAAGGTTACGAGGTTTTTATCGTTGTTATGCCTTGGGAAAGCTGGAAAACATTGTTTCCTGGCCATGTAGGTCCATGTTTTAAAAATCAATAACAATGTTTCCCTTGGTGAGCAAACGGGGAAATAATCGAGATAACATTGAAATTTTCAAGTGGTTCTGCCACTGTGTTTCCTATTTTCCCCCGGGCTTTACAGGTTTACTTCACTAGAAAATATTCTTTCTTTTTCGACGCCATGCATACACGACGCAGAATTTATCAACAATAAACAACCCTAACAATTAACAATCATAATGTCTCATTTCATACATTACTTCTTAGATTCCTCCGTGTTTACAACCTTCAATATAGTATTGAGTTGGACATAGATATTATTCACTCGTCTGGGCTCCCTGTGGATGAAACACGATTAAAATATATAATATCTGCCATCAGTGAAATGGACGACACTCATGTTAAACCGAATGATTCTGGATCGCAGCCACAAGAATCCAGTAATCAATCTCAACATTCCAGATCAGGGGCACAATATTCCAATGACAGACCACAAAAGAAGAATATTACAGCCCCTGGTCAAAGGGATGGTGGCAGCTTAGAGGCGTCTTTATCTAAGAAAGCAGTTGAAAGTTTTTAAGTGATAATACCTCGAGCGTGGGGTTCAAATACATCTAGGTATAGCGTTAAAGCCACTATTTGCTGCATATTAGTTTCTTATTCCTCGCCCGCATTTGCTGCATATTAGTTTCTTATTCCCCGGTCAAACAGTCCGCAAATAATTAGAAAGCATGATGCGTGGAGAAACACAAAACCGTTAATATTTTAATATATTGTGCAACAGATGCATGGTGGCCAACCAGGGGTGTAAAAAATGTTAATAAACGGAATTGAGAGATGTTTTTTAATTCGCTTCGACCACTACTGGTTTCCCATGACCTAATACTGAAACCCATGAATATTGTTTTAATCACTTATGTTTTAGATGCCATCAGAAACCATGAGTGATGTAGAACTTACCTCAATGATATCACATGTGAAAGATTTACTGCCAGATTGTGGTGAAGGATTCATTCTTCTTTGTTTACAAAACTTGGATTATGATGTCGAGAAAACTATAAACCTTATACTTGAAAACAGTCTTCCTGGTGAACTAAGCATTCTTGACCGTAACTTAAGTAAGAGTGAAGTTATGAAGCAGTCTAGTGTTTTATCTTCAAGACATAATATTTATGATCAAGACGAATTTGATATATTCACTAATGCCAATGTGGATCTCACGCGAGTACAAAAAGGAAAGACACGCGTTGCGGAGAGTATGAAGTCAGTTTTTGATAAAGAGAGAGATGTTGAAAGTGTGAAACAAATAATTTTGAATTATGATGAAACATTTAATGATTACGAAGATGAATATGATGATACCTATGACGAACAAAATGTTGGGGCTCAAGATGTTGACTCAGCTGATGAACTGAGCGAAATTACGTTGAGAAGGTAATTGTTTGTTATTGATTCTAGGTGTTGGGAAAGGCCATTATCGATTAGACCTAGTTGACTGTTTCCTCCCTCTCAGACTTCGACATTCGTCAATAATTGCCCACAAAGGATTGCGTTAACCGGCCGGTAATCTCTGTTTTAACTTCAAGTTCCAGCGGTTGGACAATGCGAAGAATCACTCTTTCAAGTTATGTTTGTTATCTTATGTTCATTGTTACTTCAAGAGAACATAAATAATAATGCTGCTTTGTACTGATCACAAGTGTCAAATGTACACTACGGCAATATATAGTTGGCTGATTAAAATTTCGCCTCTAGTAAGAAACATTGACACTTTATCAGGCTTACACAAATGCCCACTAAATTACGGTTTTGTATACCTTTGATTTGCAAAGGTCATGTGGTACCAGCAAAAAGTAAGTTGTTAGTTAAAAGTAAGATAGCGAGAATACTCGTATCTAAGTCGTATACGTGACTGAAAAAAAGAAGTACCCCAGCGCCGCTGCGCAGGCTACTTTGAGACCTAAGTACGATATCATAAAATAATAAACAATAAAATAGATTCATTTCATGCAATTTATTTCCAGGCCATTCACGACTCCTCGTGCTCTACTTCATTTAAAAGACAACAAAGATGATGACGATGAAGATAAGGTCAGTTTGAGGGTCTATTAGATTGAATAAAATAACAACGTACGAATAGACCTTTCCGGTAATTACGTCACGACAAACACCGTTTTCAACTTAGGACCACCTTAAATGGAATAGATTTTAAGTTTGTTTCTCACGGGCTATGGTCAGAGAAGCAGAACATCCTTCGTCAACACATGCATAAAAAAAAATTTGGATTTTGACCATTAAATGGCCCCTTATTGGTCAAAATCCAAGTTGAAAACAGTGTAGTTGTGACGTAATTACCGGAAAGGTCTATTACCGACACCCAGGCTGTTCCAGTTATTTCGTCTTCCCCCTGAATAACCCCGTAACGCAGCAGCTTCGTATATATCGACACGTCTCCGACGCACTGTGTTTTACTGTATCTTTATATGCTTGAGAGTAGATAGTTGGGAAAACTTTGGAGAAGATCTGTGAAAACCCAAAACTGAAGGTGTAAGGTGTTTACCTGTTCGGGAGGGGACGGGGAGAGGAACATAATCATTTATTGTTGTAACGTACAATTATACCAAAGGAACACTCGATCCGCTAGCCGTGATCAGCATGTAAACACTTGTACCCGCCTAACCGAGTTTTCCTGCTAGCTGGTACGTTTCGCCCAAAAACATATAAACATGACCTTAAATCTAACCCTATACAGTGCGTTGATATTTTACAATGACCAGTATTTATTCCCATCTTTTAAATGCAGGACTCTGGAGAGAGCTCTTCAAAGGGAAGAGAACCTAACGAACCCAATGACGTATCTGGTGAGAAACAACATGGCCGTCGTCAAGGTCACCAAAGACAGAATAACCATGGTAACGATGACGTAGGCAAGCGTCAAGGCCGAAGTGGTAATACAGAACGTGACCGATCATATAAAGATAAACATAAAGCAAAGATTGCTAATCATAATAGAAAGTCAGCGGCCAGTAAGAAATATTCTAAGGGAATGATGTAATAATGTGGAGACCTTTGAAACTACTTGGTACGGTTGTGTTTTATATTAATTCCTCAATCATGTGTATACATTAACCAACAATCATTGTTTCAGTGATAGGAGGGGTTATCCACCCTAATGCTTGTTCTCTGAGAAACGTGTGGTAAAATTCATTGCATGCTTCTTCAATAGATGAAAAATTACTAAGCTGTAGGGTTGCTTTCTATACTTCTTAGGGAAAATGAATATACAATTATTTTATGGTTTCCGTGTTTGGATGGCCTGATCCAAACACGCGGGAATGTTGCGAGAGTTAAGAAAAGCGCGCGAAACACGAGCCGAAGGCGAGTGATTTTGCTCGCTTTTCTTAACTCGAGCAACATTCCCAAGTGTTTGGATCAGGCCATCCAAACACGGAAACCATAAAGTAATTGTTTTATAAAATAACAACTTTCCGTGTTAAAATTTCCCTTAAAAAAACTTTCCGTGTTTGGATGGCCTGATCCAAACACAGGTTTCGACTAATCAGTACACGCGTTATATACATGTTATTTTATAAATGAATTTCCTTACTATACATTTGTGATTATTAATACAGTTTATTGCACACATCTTCTGTAATTATACATTATTATTGGCATTTTATTCTTCACTACAAATCAGACTAATTAGCCCAAAGGCACAAGACACTAGTCTTATAGCTATACTAATATAATTATTGTTTTAATACATCAAGTTTCTTAGACCACATAACTCACAAGTATGAAATGTATTTTGACAAAATCACCTTGTTTAAACGTATCCGAAATTATTGGCTACTTTTTTCCAAATATGTTTGATTGGTCAAATTTTGTTGGATTCATTCCATAGTGGAAGTAAAATCAATTGTTTCAATTATTGTTTCAAAGATCTTGGACCAACTACGCGTAGGATCAAAAGTCAGTGGTATATGAGCAGATATGTTGAAAGACGTATTTGTTACTAAAACGTTTTCAAAAGTTGTGATTTTTATATGACATTTTCTTAATTTTGTTGTCACGTACATTACTGCAAGTAAACCCATATTTTCCAGAATATAGTAAAATCAATTTCGAGTTTGAAATATTTGAGAATCGGTCGTTTGTTTGTTTGTTAAAATCTTACACCAGCTTTTGATGTTCTAAGCACGAACAGCTAGGCAACAGAATAGAAACATTTTGAAACTGTGTTGCTAAGAAAACTACATTGTTTTTTTAATAGAATTTTGAAAATTTTCATAAGCACAAACTAATTCATTTCGTGTTCGCTGAAACAATATTACATTCTACCAAATTCATCCTTTAAAATAAATTTTCTTTGTTTTTCTCGATTTCTTCGAGATTGGTTGTGTCACTGGGATGATGATAAATCCATCTTTTTTACTGCAATTGTAGTTAAGGTCG